GACTTGAGCCCAGGGGTTCAAGACCAGCCTGGACAACATAGTAAGACCCTGTCTCTGCAAATAATAATAATAATAATAATAATAATAATAAATTAACCAGTTGTGATGCATTCCTGTAGTCTCAGCTACTTGGGAGGCTGAGGCAGGAGAATCACTTGTGCTTGGGAGGTCAGAGGCTGCAGTGAGCCATAGTCACACCAATGTACGCCAGCCTCGGCAACAAATCAAGACCCTGTCTCAAAAAATAATAATAAATAAAAATAAAGGAGGATAAATATTAGCAAGGAATAAATAAAACCTATGCAGTAACAAGACAATATAATTAAAATTAGTCAAACCATTTAGAGCCCAGTACATTAGCTATACAAATTAGCTAAATATACAAAATGGTTTTTTCTTTAACGTATCTAGGATGTGTGTATATGTATGTATGTATGTGTGTGTATATATATGTATACCATTTTGAATGTGTCGTGTCTTTCATTTTCTATTGTACATATTTTATTTTGGTTTTTTATTCCCCTTCCCCACTCCATTTCCCTTTTACTACATAGGCAACCTTTCTAATGTATATTCTTTGGTTGTATGCATTTTATAATATGTGTGCTATTATTTGGAGTATGTCAAAACTTTCATTTTGTTTATTACATTTCCCACTTCGTTCTGTGACTTAAAGAACCATCTTGGCTTTGATGTATATATTCAGTCCATTGCTTCTCGCTGCTGCAAAACACTTCCTGGGGCGTACTCATCACACTTTAGATGTCCTTCCTTCCACTGTCTGATTGCCAGCAAGTCTCAGAATCTCCTTTTATGCTTATCAAGCTATTGTATTAAGTTTCTCCTGGAAATTGTTTGTAAAACTATCTTTCCCCTTTTTTCTGTCTTTCTGTTGTTTTTGCATTGACTTTGGGGAGAGCTCTTTTTATATACTAGCTTTTAGTCTGTAGTTTATTTATATTTCTATTATTATTATGGTAAGGCTTATTGCTATTGTTTCATATTTTTTCAAGTTTTACATTTTATTTTTGTTCTTATGAGGGTTTTTTTGTCTATAGCTTAAAACCCATTCTTATGTTTATTTACCCTTATTAAATACTAAAAACTCTAGAAACAGATTCAAACAGTTGGAAAGAAAGAGGTATTGATTAAATGGTTTGGAAAACATGGATTGTTGTTTGGGAAAAAGTTATATATTCACTTTAAACATATGAAATGGAACTTCCAAGTAGATCTATCTATTAATATGCTTTTGCAGTTTGAAGTGGTTCTATATTTTTAGTGTTTCTTATTGCCTTTCTTTGCACAGCCCAAAAGGAAAAACTGGCATAAAGTAAGAAGATAAACACACTATAAAATTAAATATGCAATATGTTAGACAAAAGGCCTATGTGCATACTATATGTGAGACATCAGTTCAAAATAGAGAAAAAGGTTAAACTATAAGAACAAAGTAATTTTTCAATATCTATAATTTTACCATTTTTATATTAATGTCTACTTTTTACTATTATTAATGTGGTTAATAAATTTTCATGTGCTTATTTCCTTTGGTTATTCAGTTTAGAATCCATATAAATGCAAGAGAAAAATCCTTCAGCAGTGACAGTTATGCATTGGGAGTGAGAGATTTTTCACTTTTATAATTTAAAAATAATTTAAATCAGCATATTAAGTAAATAGGTGAAGTAACAACATATGTGGAATAAAAATTTGGGAATTGACTACATAATCACTTTTTAAAAAGTTTCTGTGTTAGGAATACACTCACACACCCCCCACATACACAGATCACTTTAATAGTAGTTTATTTTTATTTTTATGACTTTTTCTCCTGTATTAAATTATTACATCTCCATGACAGGCTCCATGTATTTTCACCTTTTTGTCCCTGACATCTAATATAATACCTGGCACTGTGTGAGCTTAGAAAGTTTGCTGAATAAAGGACTTAGAAGAATGGAGGATAAGGAAATTACTCTCCTTTGCACATTTAGATGAATATTTTTGCTAATTATGGGGATAACATTTGATGTTATGAAACAATAGCTAATATATTAGAATGCTGTCCTGTAAAACATCATCATTAGGTTGATCCATGGTTGGTTTGCAAAATAATTCACCCTCAGTTTTTTCTTTTCTAACACATAAAATGACAGGGAATAAATTATTTGTCTCTTTATTTTCTCCCACTAGAAGCCCAGTTGTAAGATTTAAGAAATAGTTCACATTTTTTTATTAGAATCATCATATGTTCTTCTTTGATGGTGTTTGTTGAAAATTCTTTGGGGATTTGGCATAGCTGCTGAGTGACTTTATAAACTGATAAAGCAGATAAAAAGGAAAAGTTAGTAAAGCGAATTAAGTCTGTAAATTAAGACAGGCTTTCATCAATGTCCAGCCTCTAATGTTGCTAGGAATTTTTAATTTAACTAAACATCCCTTTGATTTCAAATCACTAAGACCGCACTGAGTCTTAGAGTCAAAAACTAACCTTGAGAAGGACTTATCTTCTTTAGTCATCGAAAAGATATGAAATTTCATTAATTAGGTGTGAATTTTCCATCCCTTTCAATACAGAAGTTACATGAGTCGGTGGATATAAGATTTGTTGTTGTTTTGATAAGGATGTTAAAAGATCGATCTATAAACTGTTAGTTGTTTTGTGAAGTTAATTTTAGATTAACTGATGCATAGTTGTGCTTTCTGTAACCATGCAGAGGAAGAACCACTTGATCAAACATGTTCATCTACCTCAGCAGAACAAAGCATCAGACAGATTTATTAAAATTAGTTCCTTAAATGTATGAAGTTATGAATGTCTGACTCCTTGATATCTCTTCTTCAGACATTCCTTTTTTTCTCTCTCTTTAGCTTTTATTCTTTAAATTATCTGTAAATTAGACTTTTCATACCTGTATGCTATAAATCTATTGGAACATTTTGCTTCACGTCTGTATGTCATTTTCCTAAATCTTCTCCTGTAGTCTACTGTTTTCATTACAAGCTTTAGAAATAATATTTTTCTTGTGAACCATCATGCAAATGCTATGACCTAGGACCAAGGAATATTAATTGGGAATTAACCATATACATAATACTGTATGTATTATGTGCTGTGCTGGGAACTAGTTGGTTCCAGAACAGAAAGGACCAGACCTAGAATACCAAAGAACAGTGTATACAACCTAAGCCTTGTCTGGTGCTCATCTGGTTAATATGCTATTTTAATGAAGTTGTCATTTTTATTTGGCCACTGGGATTATATGTCGTTTTATGTCATGTTAACATTATACTGAGACTGTTCATATATTAGAATATTGTATTACTAGTTAACCAACCTCAGATATTCATGTTTACATATGTTTTTTAGAAAATTGATTTTTCCTTTTTAATTAAAAATTTTATGTAGAAACAATTATGGTTGTTACTTTATAATGATTACATTATAACATAATTTATGACAATCAAAATAATATGATTATGTAATAATATAATTTTTGACATCTGACTGGTCTTAAAATAATCACTTTTTGTCCACATTTAATTCACTTCATAATTCCTTTATTATATCCATCAGGAATAAGTGAGTTCTCCAATATATTTTTCCTTTTCTCTTTTCCTATATCAGTGATTTAAGCTTTTCTTAGGAAGGTGTAATTTGAAAAATTAAACAATGTGAATATAAGTTTGGATAATAGGGATATCCAGAACTATAAACCCAGGGCTTCAGTAAACAGTTCAGATTTAATCAAATATCAAGAATTTTGTGCCAGGCGCGGTGGCTCAAGCCTGTAATCCCAGCACTTTGGGAGACCGAGGTGGGTGGATCACGAGGTCAAGAGATCGAGACCATCCTGGTCAACATGGTGAAACCCCATCTCTACTAAAAATACAAAACATTAGCTCGGCAGGGTGACGCGTGCCTGTAATCCCAGCTACTCAGGAGGTTGAGGCAGGAGAATTGCCTGAACCCAGGAGGCGGAGGTTGCGGTGAGCTGAGATCACGCCATTGCACTCCAGCATGGGTAACAAGAGTGAAACTCAGTCTCAAAAAAAAAAAAAAAAGAATTTTGTGTAAATGCAAATACAGGCAGATTTTACTGAGTAGAGCAATTTATAATAATGGTGTCCCTAAAAATTCCAAAATAAATGTATTGCTAATTCTGCTAGTTTTTCTTTTGGGTAATACTTTAGTAGATTAATATGCCTCTGTTTGGGAGATAAACTATGTCATAGTTAACAAAGACATGTTGAAGTCAAATAAAATATAGATAAAAATCTCTGAAAAAATTTATTGAGAGAAGTGAAAATTGTAATTTGGGGCATATACACAGACCAGGTACCTGAAGAACAAAGAGAAGGTTGGAGGTTTTATAAAAGAGAAATGTAAAAAAAAAAAAAAGAGAGAGAAATGTAGTACTATTTGGTACTATTTGGTACTATACTAAGCATAGTATGTGTCATATCCATGACACATAACAAACCTGCACACGTATCCCTGAACCTAAAATAAAAGTTTTTTGGGAAAAAAAAAACAAAAGAAAACAAAATTGAAAAAAGAGAAATATTCCATATTGCTGTAAAAGAAAGTTCATTGGCACTAGTAAAGTTTTGCAATGCTGGCAAGCTCTGACGGGTGCATGATGGGTAAAACTAGTTTTAGAGTCTCAGCAGATTGTTTCAGTATCTGTCAGATACAACTAGTTTCAGGTTACAACTGGCAGTTTCAGCAGCCAGGTTTGCAGGTAATTACATTATTGGAGCAGTGTTAGTGCCCTGAGTGCTTTCCCCAACTCCTGACCACTTGACTGTTTTAGTTGGGTTTGACAAGAATGACTCAATTTGTATGATTAGCTTTTACAGATCCAATACTTCTTTTTTTTTTTCAGTTTTTATTGGTCAAATGCTTCTGAGCTAAACAACTGGGTTTTCCCCGACACCATGGCGTCTTTTTTCATGTTTAGTCATTTCCCTCATACAAAATTCTTTACTTTCAGACAGAGAAAGGACTATCAAAAGTATGGGAAGAAAGTAAGCAGAACTCTGGTTATCATTGGCAAAAGGCTGATATCCTCCTAGGAAAATTAAGGAATTTTGAAGTCATATTTCAAGGTATCAGAACAAGGGATCTAGGAGGAGGAGCTGCGATTGATGATATTGAATTTAAAAACTGCACAACTGGTAAGTTTCCACAAAGCACTTCCATTTGGAAGCACATTCATAATCTAGCCATTTTATCTTTGTGACACATGTTTAAAATGCTTTACTGTTGTGTGTTTTGTACACATACACAAATCAGTTGAAAGGTATACTTTTATAATGTGGACTTAAAACTCTAAGTTAAAAGATAATACCTATTTTAGTCTGTTTGGGCTGCTATTACAAAATGCTGTAAGCTGGGAAGCATATAAACAACAGAAATTATTTTCCTTGTGGTTCTGGAGGTTGGGAAGTCCAAGATAAGCTGGGTAGCATATAAACAACAGAAACTTTTTCCTTGTGGTTCTGGAGGCTGGGAAGTCGAAGATCAAGACTGGCAGATTGGTATTTGGTGAAGGCTCCTTTCCTGGTTCATAGATGGTACCTTCTTGATGTGTGTTCACTTGGTGCAGTCCAAGTGGAATCCTTACAAAATGAGCTCCCTTGAGCCTATTTTATAAGGACACTAATCCCATTCATGAGGGCTCTACCCCCATGACCTAGTCATCTTCCTGAAGACCTCATCTCTGGATAATATCACCTTAGGATTTCAACACATGAATGAGGGGAGGAGAATAAACAGTCAGACCTTACCAATATATCCTTCATCCTTCAACTGCACAAGTAACTCCCTTCTTCCTTCCGTACCACCCACTTTATGATATGGAGAATCTTTTCCTTCTGAATTTGTTTTTTAACACAATTTTAAATATGAGCCTAATATTTACATGTATTTATCGAATTTAAGCTAATTATGAATGAACCAATAAAAATGGGTTAGAAATCTAATAGTTAGAACATCTATAAGAAATAAATTCCACCAGGAAAAATTCAAGTAGAAATTGAGTTGGGAGCTGTGCTTAGGGGATTAAAGATGCTACTCCAGCCTGTGAACAGTAACTTGAAAAAAAAAATGTACTGCCATTTATTGTGTTTCTAAATGAGAAGTATAACTACACTTAGATTCTCTTTACAAAACTACCCAGAAAATGTCAAAAATAATTATAAATACATTTGTATAATTTCACAGTTTGCAAAGTTCTTTCAGAGGAATTATTCCATTTGGTTTCCAAAATAATCCTGTGTGAGATACACTGCCAGTGAAAGATATGCCGTCTGTGGTTTTCCATACTGACTCACTTGGCAGCAAGTCTCTGCAACTGAAAGAGCTAAACCTGAATGCTATTTAATTTTATTGTTGCTCTCATATTAAAATATCATTTCACTGAAGCGGTTCAAAAATGTGACTTTGGTTTTTTGTGGTGTTATAGCATCTGCTCTTTTTATGAGCAGTGCTGTTTCAAAAGATTCTGCTTAGAAATACATTCCTTAAAGTTTGATTTCTCTCTCTTCCAACCTATGTTTCTACAAAAGGTGGTTGTTATTCAGCTGATGTTACATAAAATCAAAAATTATGTGTTTCATACCATGTAAGGAGCACATAGCTCCAGGTACCTATGTCATGCAGGAGACAGGATTTGGGCTTGAAGGTGCTGGGGAGACGGGGGTCTTGATGAAAGAAGATGAAGTTTTGCACGTATAGTCGTGTAAAGGGAATCTTAGACATGAGAATATGCTTCTTAAACTCTCTCCTAGTAACTTTCCAAGTAATTTGTTGAAATTCTATTATGATTAGTAACAATCTAGAAATGATTTTGGCAACTAGAAAAGGAAAAATTTTTCAAAACTTTCTCTAACGTTTTAGAAAGAAAGAAGCTTATATTCAATAGGAAATTCCTTTTCTCTCAAGGGAGGCAGAATGATTCCTAGATGGGTTGATTCAGGACAGAAGGAAACTGAGAGTTATTATTCTAGCTTTGTCAGTTTCATGTAGAAATTTGTGCTCTTTCTTCCCTTTTTTGTTATAGAGTTCTGTAAGAATTTACATTATTACAATTAATTTTGTTTAATTCAAACTAACACTTGGCTTACTAAGTTATACTTAAATATCTTGTATTTAGTGATCAACTACTTTTAGGCTTACCTATACTGCTTTCTTTGTCATCAAGTAAAGAGGTATCATGTTGTCAGTTATAGTTGAATATGGTCAATTGTATATTTAATACATTTTTGGAAGAAAGTAGCCATTGGTGTTTAACAGCCTAGCTTGCTACAATTAACGAGGATTTTCAAATTGTTTTT